ATTGGGTCTCTGATCCCAGAGAAATACTTTATTTAGGAGAAATTGTTTTATGTTCTTCAAGTATTGCTTAGGCCTAATACGTAATTGGGTCTCTGATCCCAGAGAAATACTTTATTTAGGAGAAATTGTTTTATGTTCTTCAAGTATTGCTTAGGCCTAATACGTAATTGGGTCTCTGATCTCAGAGAAATACTTTATTTAGGAGAAATTGTTTTATGTTCTTCAAGTATTGCTTAGGCCTAATACGTAATTGGGCAACTAGCTTGTATCCTTCAAGTCCCAACTTGCGTGAAAAAACAACAAAAAGAAAACAAATTTCACTATTACGAGTAAATGAAGAATAAATATGAAGTTTGGTTTTTCTCAAGAAAACCGTTTATAATTGTAAACAGTCGTTTAGTCTGTTGTAAAGATGCAGCGAAACGTTTACTGTACCAAAGTTTCGATTTTTCTGTTGTCATTTTACTGGCTATCAGCAAGTTTCCAATTTTGGAAGAATCGTTTAAAGTTCTGATTAGGTTAACGAAAGGAATCATTCTACTCTAATTAACATAAATTGTAGAAAGGACTGTGGTTAAAGCATTTTCTTTTGCTAAAATTGATAAGCTTGTATTGATGCTGGCTACGTTTCACTAACATGTTTAACATCATGCACAAGGTTACAATTTTTTAGCATCTCCACTATAATCTATTCCTGCATCAGTGGCCATTATTGGGTGAAGTTATTTTCCACCGTAATCTAAATGTGATTCTTTTTATCGACAGGTATTTATTATTATTTTAGTTGACTTAATCCAGTGGAAACTAAGGGTGATTGAAGTTAATGAATTTTTTTGGTTGCCGTAATAATGCGCTATAAGGTTTATTTAATAAGTTTGTAGAAAAAAAAAGTGGCGTGACAAAACATAAAACGTTTTCAATGATTGTCATCTTCTAAGCCTGACGCTATTTGACGGATCGTCTTGCTGTTTGAACATCATATTCAAATCTACATTTCTCCATTGATGAAATCATAAAGTTATTTCTTTACATTTTTTTTTGTTTTTTTTTTTTGCAGGAAATTGGAGACTTTATTATTGACCAGGATTTTTGCTGTACTGAAGATCTTCAAGCAAACATTGAAATGAAGACAATTAATAAATGGGACATGGGAAGCGTCGATAGTTCTGATACCTATGCAAGCTGTAATACTAACCCATTTGATTCTCAGGCAGACCTGACCACTGAAGATTCCACTCCCGCACGAAGCAACCTATATGTAAACCCCCTTGAAGACCCCTTGCAGATAGGGTCAGCCCCAGTGACACGGAAATCTTTGGAGGTTCCAGTGTCCCACCCCTCTGTTGCTTTAACTCTCAGCAGCTCTTCTGGAGACAGTTACGATGAATCCTCAGGAAGAACGATTATTGAACAACCCCAGACTGACACACACAATGCCTTCAACACCCTGTCATCTCAGAAGAAACCGCGTTTTCTACTAGGACTGAAATCTAAAACTCGTTTAGATGAAATGGACTCTCCACAACGAAGTTTTCAATCCTCCACAGACTCCCTCATTACATCTGGTAACAGACCAAAGGTTGGAATTAAAACGCCATTCTCCTCTCGAGGTAAGGTTATAGCTCTGTGAAATAAATGGTTGATATAAGGCATCTTTCACATCAGTAAAAACGTTTTCAGGATGTTGTTATATCATAGAATACAATAAGATGTCTTAAATGCAGGCAAAATGAAAACAAACTAACTATCTTTGTCTTTGCACCTCACAATCCTCCCTTCTTTGATAGTTTTACTGAAACACATGTTAAACCACAGAAGAAATTAATCTTGCATTGTGGTCAAATGGTTAGCATAGTTGGATTATGAATCCGAGGGTTCGTGGATTGCGACCCATTACCGCAAAAACCATCTGCACTTTGGGTTCTTGGTGCGCTATAAAAGTGAGGATCAGATCCCGCTATTCGTTCACAGGCGAAACTAGCTTCAGAGTTGAATATTTTCCAATCTAGCGCTAATCTATCAGTTCAAACCTGGGGACAGCTAGCGCAGATAGTCTTTGTGCAAAGACCTGAAATAATCAAACCAAATTTAATTCTGTAGATTACCAATATCATCATAACAACATCCTCCAACCACTAGGTTGTTTAGGGTTTTGTATATTTTTAATGCATTTCCAAGACGTTCGAGACTGTCTGTTATTTGTTGAATATTTATAAGTGTTTTTTCTTTGTACGTATTCATTAAATAGGTATCAATATTTAAAAGTTATTACGGTTTAATCTTCGAAAACCGACAAAATATTGAAAAGCCAGTAGACTTAAAGATTATTATAAAAAGCAAGTTAACCGCAGATTTTTTTACCACATTCTTCTTAACTGGTTCGTTGTAGTTGAAAATCAGAGATGTGTAAAACAACAACAACAGAGGAATGTGGAAAAAACCATTACAGTTAACTTGTTTTTATAAAAGCTATTAGTCATGATGATTAGTAGAGGTAATACCATTCGTTATATTTAGGGACTTATACATAACAGTGTAGCCTTTTCGTACATTATTTATGACTGATATTTTGTATATATTTTAATGAATTATTTTTGTTTTTCAGCAAGATCTTTGGGAAGGAGCCATTTCTTTGGAGATACGGAGCCCAGCCCAGCCTCTCGGCATCTACAACCAAGTCCGGAGGTCAGTAAGAAGAAATCCATCCTGAAGAAAGGAGATAGCATCCACAAAGAAGAAATGGAAAAACTGCTAGCCGATCCAACACATAGTTTATCCAAACAGAACTCTGAAGAAGTCAGTAGTGAAGAAACTTTTTCTCCTACTCTAGGTAGTTCTATGGGCAAACTACCTCTGAAGGCGATTGGTCCAAAAACGGGAACCAGACCTCACGCTCAACCAATCAAGTTTCTAGGTGTTCTTGAGGACAATAAAATGCTGTCCAACAAGGGGAGTCCATCTCCCAGTACAACAGGCCCTCGTCTTTTGAGTCCAAGACCCCAGTCCAGAAGAGCTCTAACCCACGACGGTGTTCACTTTTCGGGTGCTCCCTTGAGCCGGACGCTGGTCAAGCAAGCACGTGTAAATGAACTTAATCCTAAAATAAGTGAACCTCTTGGAGCAATGGAGAGTGATCTACCACCCCCTATAAGCACATCTGCGCAGTGTACTATAAATAACTCCGAAAGATACTGTAGTAATCCGTTGTGTATATATTCTTATAACCCTATAGCACAGGCCTCGTCATCCCCTAGTATTTGTATATGTGGCCACCAGGTGGCTCCCTTGCTCTCTTCTTTGCCCATTACAGATATGAGCCGTGATCATTCTAGGTTGACGACAAACATGCCAAACGATTCCTTTGAATTGGTCGATTTGTCTAAAGAAGAAACAAAGCTGCTGGAAAGTGAAAAGTACCAGAAAAACCCATCATCTAATGATGCTTCCGTCTTATCGTAGCAGTTCAGGTAAGATTAATAATGTCTTTTAACTTAAGGCTTTCCTTCAGGTAATAGATATTGAAGAACGTGACGATAATCGGCGTTTAAATTTATTATAGCTATTCATCAGAATTTTAGATTAATTTCCATCTTCTTAATTTGTTGTCGTGGAACAAGAAAGAAACACACATAATAGTTAGGAACCTTAGTTTAATATCCCCCCCCCCCCAGTGGCTCAGCGGTATGTCTGCGCACTTACAACGCTAGAATCTGGGTTTTGATACCAGTGGTGGGCAAAGCACAGAGAGCCCATTGTATAGATTTGTGCTCAGTTACAAACAAAGAAACTATTTTTCCAAAAGAACATGTAATATTGCCCGTTGAATTGCGAGTTTTTTTCCGAAAGTCTAGGAACTGAAACAGGATTATCACAAAATGTAACAAAGTACATGTTTTAGATTGAAGTGTTTCAGATATATTTGATCTTTCTTAATTTAGAAATGACAGACTAGAGGTAAGGCAACTAGTCGACACTACCAACTCTGGAACTACTTTTCTTTACCAACGAATAGTGGGATAGACCATCACTTTGTAACGCCCTTTTGCAAATTATTCTATTGTGATGAGCAAAAGTATGTACTAATATCTTTGTTGTCAAAAAGTCTGAAGACTTTGCATTATATTACAGAATGGATACCAAAATATAAAAATAAAATAAATAGAAACTAACAATGGAGTAAACGAACGTTTATATGAAAGGGCTGTTAACCATAGTATTTTTAATAAAAAAATGTTTTTATTTTGTCGCTTATGTTAAGACACCATACGGGTAAAATTTATTAATTTGTTTTACTTTTTATTCCTTCGAGCTATTATCTGTGCCCTGTCCACCACGGGTGCCGCTGTGTATGTTGAACTGACTGAAGAATATAACCAGAGAAACTCTATGTAGCACATTTAGCCCTTATTATATTTTATCATGTTTAAAACTTTCCCTTTAAGTTTCCCGATGTTTGAAAAGGATTACATTTAACGCTTTAACTCAGTATATTCACGACTATCTGGAGTATCCGTCCCCTAGACAAAAATTATATAAATATATGATCAATGAAAGTTTATCGTAGGACATGAAAAGTTGCTTCCCTTACATGTAATTGTAAAAAACAAAAACACCCATTAAAAACCGCAAAAAAGCAAAACTGACAATTTGTATGTTTCTCCCCATGGACCCACTGAACCTCCATAACCTCGCAACCTGCGAAGTAGTTACATGGACATACAATAGACAGTACTATTATATTTATATCAGTTAAATTCCCATTTATTTAGAAGTGTTTCTTTAAATCAGTACGCACAAACAAACATACCTTAGAATAATAAGAACTTAATATCGGATGATGCCTTTAATGGCGAAACCATGGTCGTGAATAAATGATGTATTTGTGAAATGGGCAGTTGTCTTGTTTTAACTGAATTTCATAACTTAATACTTTTTTTAATTTCATATGAGTAGTTCTAACCAAGTAGTTGGTACAGACTTTCTCTTCAAAGTATAATCGTTTATTACTGTAGGTATAGATTTCGTTTTGCGAGGAAGTAACCCTCTGTTGGCGAATTTTATACATTGTACACATTGTATACATTGGGCATCAGAAACCATAGCAACCCCAAATGAACTGTCATTTGGCATACCCAACTATTGACCCGGTGGGCTTAGTTATATTTCTCTGATTCACCACAATCCCATCTTGCTTGTGGTCTTGTATGATTGGCCTCCTTAGTATCAAACGGTAATATTAATCTTTCAACAGTCAAGATCTAATCGAAAACTGCCACTCTTGCTGTCTTAGATAAACGGGTGGGTTGACAAACTGGTTCAAATCTTCGAGATATCTTTCTTTATTGTTAGAGAACCGCTGGTGATATTTTAACAAACTGTGTGCCGATATTTGTTTGAATGAACTAAAATACTAGAAATAGTAAAAGAAGGATTACATTGTCACCTTCTCCACTTCAGGATTACCACTGTGATAAGATTTTATTGTTAACACACTTTGAATGAACTAAAATATTACAAATAGTAAAAGAAGGATTGCATTGTTGCCTTCTCCAGTTCATGATTACTACTGTGATAAGATTTCATTGTTAACACACTTTAGCTACAAACTTTTGGTATTAAGGGTCTAATTGTAGATTAGTGCTGTCGATACTTTGTGAGCTTGTGATATGATCTTGTTTGATGTCTTTTTTTAATTACTTACGTGTAATTTAGTAGTTCAGAGAAAAACAAACATTTCTTATATCGGCTAACGTGCATCTACGTCATGTATTGAATCGATTGTTACCGTGTCTTTTTAATTGGAGTTATGTGATAACAATCAAATAAACAAAAACTTCAAAACAGTGAATTGTTTGTTTGTAATTAAGCACAAAGCTACACATTGGGCTATCTGTGCTTTTCCCACCACAGATATCGAAACCCGATTTCTGGCGTTGTAAGTCCGCAGACGTACCGCTGTGCCACTGGGGGCCTGAAAACAGTGAATCAGTTATTATGATTATTTAAATTTTATATTGGGTTTTAATGTATGCTGAAGGAAATGCAGAAAACTGACCACTTTATTAAGATCCCCCCCTTCTCTCCCAACACACAGACATTTGTAAAATATTAGTAACCCATGGTAACAACTTGTATATCCACCGAACTTGGTCTGTAATTATTTTCCGTATTGTCCTCGGGAGTGTTGCAAACTGCAAAGGAGGGCGCTAATTACAGTATTTGTGCAGTTCCGGATTCTATTTTTCACATGTGATTTGTTGATTTCAATGTTAATAAGTGTGTGTGTGTGTTTTCTTCTTCTTTTTTTTTCAAATCAAAATTACGGTAATAAAAGTGAATTATATGTTTGATTATTATTGCTGTTACACAAGGTTAGCTTTATAAAAATACGGGGGGGGGGGAGCGTTAATTAGGGGCAATACGGTAGATTAAACGCCCAAGCCTTTTTGTTACAATACAGTTAAATGTGGTGATATGCGAATGCTGGTGACACTTAAAATTGAACACAGTTGGAGGATATTATTAATTTCAGAACTTACTATTCTGTGATTTAAAAAAAGAAAGTAGACAGAAAATGTTATCGTTCAGAAAAAAAACAACCCCATAAAATATTAATGTTGATTCGTACAGGTTAAAGTAAGGGAAAGCGGCCTTCTGGTGGTTTAGCGGCGGGTTTGTGGGCTTATAACGCCAAAAATCGGATTTCGATACCCGCGGCGGATAGAGTACTGATAGCCCATTTTATAGCTCTGCACTAAACAACAAACAAACAGGGGAAAGTGGGATTCTAGCAGGGAACAATTGAGTTCTACTATTACTTCTGTTTTAATTTTCTTCTCCACCTCTGGTATGCTATGGTAGCTGGTCATGGAGTAGCCTATTGTTCCTCTTCTATTGTATGTAAAGTGTGAATCTTGGTTGAAACTGTAAACAAGATAATTCGCATAGATTAAGGTCTACAAGAGTGAAATAGAAGCAGTGTTTCATAGGCTTACTCTATGGCACATAGTTGAATATAATACCAGTCATCAAAAGTTCTATCAGCAGTATGACAAATGTATGTATATTTTCATTGGACAAAACATGTGTTTACTTTACATTTCCTACATTTCAAAAGTAGTACATACTATGTCACAAATGTTTTTTTAAAGGATTATGGTTGTGGCAGAACATAGTTATAATAATAAGCTAAACATCGGAGAAATATATGAAGTTGGACTTTGTATACTATTAGGCTTACTTGCTGGCACATTAACGCGAGTACAAACTGGATGCCATTGAAGTGTGACAGTTCTTCCGCAAGTTGTAAGGACCAATGAACTTCATGCTATACCATTGACAGACAACCCCACACGTTCGTGCCTTTGGGTCACTCAGGTGGACACTCAAGTCGTCATTCATGAACGGTTGATGAACTCTGGAGAAAATGTAATGGGAATGAGGAGGTAACATTGATTTCAATATATTGCTTTAAAGCCTACCAAAGGATAACTAGCGCTGCAGGGCAATAATCCATAATTAGTGCCATGACAAATAACACAATCTGTGGTGGAAGAAGGGGAGGTAAGGCCTACTCATTTATTCTTATGATCATGTGTTTGCATGAACGATATAAATATAGCTATGTTATAGCTTGTTTACATGACTGAAATTTAGATAGATCTTTGCTTTGATCCAAAGGACTTTCATTTTCAAAAACTGTTCTCTAACTAGTTGTTCAAAAGCATCTGTCATCGTGGTCTATCACCATTTGTTATTTAGAGGAAATACGTCTGCCAATAGAAATCTGTGGTTCACTGTTCACAAATCAGTGGAAACAATAGTCTTATAAAGTGCAACACCATCACAGTGTCTCGATTGAGCACTGGTCAAGATTCGACCATTTTCGAACACACCAGGAAAACGATTTTCAAAAACTATCATCATATGGTAGTCGAAACATAGTTCAAAATTAATTTATCTTAGAGGAAAACAGAAAAGGAAAGATAAGTGATGCTTAGAACAGAACTGTGAAAAAGATGACTGGAAGAATATAGTGTGGTTTAGTTATTTTTCATTATTCCCCTTACTAATGGTAGGGTATGAATGTGGATAAAACTCTACCTTGTATTGTTTCAACACTTCCAGCCTGCCGGAGGTGGAATAATGGTGTGGGAGACGTTCTTGTTCAATTGTTAGGCACTTTGCTTCTTTTGAAATGCTGTATTTTCCGTACAAGGGCTCTCCAAAGATGATAATGCAACAATCTGCCATCTAGGTTTGCCTGAAATTGGTTTGAAGAACATGAAGGTGATTTAGTCATCATCCTTGACCAGCACAATAACAAGGATTCAATCTGGTTTAGAATCATTCGTACTTACTTACTGACATCTGAGAAACCATGACCAATGACTTCATTAGAATAGAAAATTTTCAGCAATTTGTGAATTATAATTCATGTATAATCCAGGCTGTCACTACGGCAAGA